ATTTACAGTCAGTAATATTCACTCTGCTTTTTTTTGTAGTTTCAGAGATTCAAAGTCTCACAATACTTTAAAAACATGGCTGGAAAAGTTGTGCTGCACTACTTCAATGGGAGAGGGAAAATGGAGTCAATCCGCTGGCTGCTGACAGTTGCAGAAGTTGAGGTAAGTGCATGGTGGGGTGGTGTTTTTAAAGTCTTTAAAGAACCTAAAACCTCCTGAATGTGCCCTAAATCTGCTCTATAATTCCAGTTTGACGAGGTGTATCTGTCAACTCGTGAGCAGTATGAAAAACTCCTGAGTGGTGAGTTAAAAAAAAGCTAAAAATCGTTGTCTCTGGCCTGTTTCCAAGTCACATGTTTGTATTTTTTTTATTTGTTTGTATATCAGCTGCAACCTTTATGATGACACAGCAGTTTATAGGTGAAGGGCCCAGAGGTATTTTGACCTGTAGTCATAGTTATGGTCACCCAGGGTAAATCATTACCAACTGGGAGAGCCAACCTGAATTACTACTCCTGTTATCTGCAGATGGAGATCTCATGTTCCAACAAGTTCCCATGGTGGAAATTGATGGCATGAAGCTTGTTCAGACAAAGGCGATCCTGCACTACATCGCAGAGAAGTACAATCTCCATGGGAAAGACCTCAAAGACCGCGTCATGTATGGTGCTTTTCTTTAACAGTGCAACAATGGGAGCAGGCTGTTATGTAACGTGTAGGCGGTGGATGAATGTGTGTGTCTTTTCTCCCCCTCAGGATCAACATGTACTCGGAGGGAGTGATAGATCTCATGGAAATGATCATGATATTGCCTTTCAGCGCAGATCCTAAACCAAAACTGGACAACATTCAGAGTAAAGCAAAAGAGCGCTACCTCCCTGTGTTTGAAAAGGTACCACTCCTCATGTCTTTACTGTATTATATATATATATATATATAAAACCCTTTAAAGTTGTGATCTGTTGATGGTTTATTTGTGATCTTTGACCTCTCAGGCGCTGTCTGGGCCCATATACCTGGTGGGAGGTAAACTGAGCTGTGCAGATGTGCAGCTGCTCGAGTGCACCCTGATGTTGGAGGAGAAATTCCCAGGAATCCTCGCCGACTTCCCCAACGTGAAGGTAAAATGTGTAAAAAGACGCTCACATCAGTGTAAGTACACAATACTTACGTTGGCGAGTAATCCTACACGGATGTGACCTTGACCTATGTTAAGAATGTCGCCAACATGATGCCAGACTAACTAAACAGCAGGATTTAAAGGATTAAATGACTCTTTAGCATACCCCTACTCCTTCTTTTGGTTGTGTGGTCTTATTTATGTATTGTTTATGCAGCATATTTTAAAATGTTCATGGATTTCCAGGATTTCGTGGGCTTTTTGGGGGGGAATCCTGCAGCCTAAAATGCCTGATTTCACAATAAAAATATTTCTTAGGCATTTTTTCCCCCAATAAAATTGCGTAAGAAAGTGGATTCCATTCCGTTTGGACAGAGTAAATGCGAAATCTTAATATTAGAAACAAGGATGTGATTTTTGGATACACACAGCTCAGCATTTTGCGCAGGAAGTTCCACCGATTTATGGAGAAGTTGTGGTGATTAAAGAAAAGGTCATTCAGTGTTCACATGGTTTGGTCAAATTTGCATGAATTGCTCTTCCTGGAGGGACTGTATTACGCTCATATCAGTGGCATAAAATGGTCTTAAAATGGTAATAATACAGTTTATCACGATTATTTCTGGGTCAACAAAAGGACGTATAGTGATAGACACCCATATACTGAATACTCTGTTTCCCTCCAGTCTTTCCAGGGCAGGATGACCCGGATTCCCGCCATCAGCAGATTCCTGCAGCCCGGCAGCAAGAGGAAGTCCCAGCCTGATGAAACCTACACAAAGACCATCATGGAGGTGTTCAAAATCAAAATCCCATTTCCATAAACTCTGGTGCATTCCTCACATCGGCAGTATGAGCGATTCATTATGCAAGCCTAGCCTGTACGCCATGTGGATCGATTACATCTGCCGGTTTATGTTAAGATGAATACTGCACTATCTAAAACAAAATAACATTTAGCATGAAAGGAGTCATTACGTAACATTAGCTGAGTGATCTTTAATGTGAAAGTTTTACTAAATAAAGTTTTTATTTTTGAGGATCATTCGAGCAACTGATGTTTTTATTCCGTCTTCTATCACCAAAACCTCGTACATAAAGAGAGGAACATTATTTTGAAAATCTTAACTTATTTGTTTAGTTTTTTAATTATTACAAAAAAAATCTTTCAAGAAACAGCACGTGAGCAGTAAGAATACACATTTTTATCTTTTAATCTTGTTCCCTTTTTTCAGGCAATACAGGAATATTCCAACTTTCTAAAGTTGATTGTTCAGCAGCTTGCAAAACTGATGTTGTAGTGTGTACAGTAAAACAGGAGCACCACAAAGCTCACATACTGTACATCTTTTGTTCTGCCAACACTGAGTAAGTAAACTGAGATTTATGTTCATGCACATATACAAAAAAATAAGCAAAAACTATTTGATTTACATAGAATCATCTGAACAGATTTACTGCAATAAGATTAGTAGTTAATCTTAAATCTGTTAAACACCCACTGGTAGCTTTTGCAAGGTTTCTGGTCACATGAAAGATATAGATACAAAACAGAGGATTTAGTATGCTAACTGGGAATGGTGTTTCCTTTAAAACAAGGGTTGTTCATCAAGAGACAGAGAGCCCTCTGTGTGGTCCGTATTGTTCCCCCAGTCACACCATGATGAGAAGCAACAGCCGAAACACCATCAATAAACTGTGAGAAAGGGGAAGCAAATAAAGAAGAAAATGATGAGTTCATAATTTGCTCAATGAACTTTTTCTGCATGTTGAAGCAAGTTTGACTCTGACCTTAGTCCGGACATAATGCCAGCAGGCATTAATTTTCCAGATTTCTTGTATCTCATTCCCATCACGAATGAGAGGACTCCACAGGCCACTGGAAGAAAGAAAACACCACGATACTGGCTGGATGTTTTAACTGATTCTCTGAAAATCAGCATATTAAGAATGGGCTTAGCCGTACTCACGCAATGAGACCTTGATATCCTTTGAGTCATGGGAGATGTTGTATGCACCATAAGCAGATAATCCACCAAAAACTAAACCAGCCATGAGGGACATCACACTGCCTACAATGAAACACAGACACATGATGATAATCAGGAATACTTTACTCAACCACTTAAAAATGTGCTAGAGAATTCTCTCTGGTTGAGCTCTCTGCCAAAATAAATACTTCAAGTGTGACCTTTTCTCTTGTATCCCATGAATCCTCCCAAAGCGATGGCTGCAGCATAGCCGAATCCAATCCAGTCCACGGCCATCACAGAGCTGTAAACAGAGAGTAAAGGTTGTCAGGGACGTTCAGTATGTTGTACTCAGACTGTAAGATCTTCCCCTGAACACGAACGCCGACATCCACAGCCGTGTTAGGCTAGCTTGTAGAAAAGGGGGCTAAAAAGTTAGGTCGAAGTTTGACCAGCACCCAGGGACAATAAAAATAACACCTGAGACACACTGTAATTAATTATTACAATTATGAGTAATGGAAAATATACTGTATCATTTTGATTGTTAGGTGCTCTATGTGTTATATAAGCTCTATGCTACGTCACACACATGCTCTCATAGAAAGAGCAGCGTCGACTTTGTTGCTAGATTTAGCAACTTCTCAGACCCTCAGTGACAAATTTAGGGATTTATTCAGACCATCATCGTGGAAAAAGCCAGAAATATATTCAAACTATATTGTAATATATCCCCAAGTCCACGGCTCTTCTGTCAACAGCACTGGGGTCTCTCCCTCTCCTCTCGTGCCATTAGCAGACTGTCAGTAGGTGAGGCCTGTTCTTGTTCTCTTGTTCTCTCTGGATTAGGATGTGGCTTTAGTTTATATGTAAATAGTGTGTTTGATCTTCTCTTTATAGATGTTTACTTTTTTACTTCAAATATACGATGTCCCCATAATGATGTACAAAGTGTGTGTATGTAAATGTCCATTGTCATATATCAGAAACAGGTTCACATTTGCACTGCAGTTCCAATGACGTGATGAGTTACTGAAATTAAGTTATGAAAATATATTTATTAAGTAAATGAAAACAAAATAACTTTATTTTTCTGAACTGTTATTAAGTCTAAAACGGCTGAAAGAAAACAGTTGTGGGACCATGAGGACCAAAAGTAATTTTGGAAAATAAATTATTATTTTCACCTTGTGTAATATTTCTTTCTGGGGTTTTACTGTGTAAAATTACCTCCTGTGACCTCTAACCTCAAGAAATCTTACAGCCACACAATAAACACCTCTGGCAGACAGAGGATGTTTGGCTCTCTAAGGTATAATGACAATAAAAGGGTTTCTGAGCAACAGAAATGCTCCCCATCCACTCACAAAAAATGTAATTGTTACAGAAATCTCCAAATGTAAAAACATTGGTGATCCTCGAGGTCTTGGAGTCTTAACGTGGTATTTTGAAGGGCTCTTCGACCATTTTTTATCATTTTTCGATGATCAAACATGGTCAAATGTTGCACCAAATCTGTGTAATTAATCGTATCAGGAAAACAATTGCTGCAACATGTCCTGTACTCTTAATTTCCAATATTGAATCATTACTAGGATAAAGACCCCAAACATACTGGTAACATTATTCAATTCTAAAGGCAAAAAAAGTAAGTACCCCTGAGATAAAACCAAAAGTAAAACAAGTAAGCATACAGTAGCCTTTTATCATTAAAACCATATATTGTCCCCTTTCAACTAACATTTAAAACCACATTATAATGTCTGTTATCGTTTCAACCAGCCTAACTAGGGGAAATAAACTAATTATGTTTTAACACCAACAAGTTGACCTCTCCCTCAACCTTTCAGTAATAAACCAGCAAGCACTCTGACAGACCTGTAGGTGTCGCTGTGAGACCTTCAAAGACTAAATCAACAACAAGACGCGTTCAAACACACCTACAGGCATATTCACGCTAATCATTCACTTAATGAGAAGCAACGCATTGTTATATTATCATTATTATTATGATACTGTTCTTTGTGTTCGCCTTGCCGCATTACATACCTTGAGTCCAGAGATATATGTCGTTATTTTTACTGTCAAACGTCCAAACAAGCAGCAGCACTTAGAAACGTTTCCTTCAGTGTGTGACAGCGCTTCCTGCCCACAAACCCCAGTACGCATGCGCCATCATCTTATGCGCGGTTCGCTGACTTTTGATAAAGTGGGAAAGTAGTAATTCAGAACATTAAAGGAATAATAAATACCGGTAAATGGATTTTTGTTCACAATTATTATTTTTAAATCACATTAAATTGTATCTAACGGTCCTTGCATTGTATTCATACATAATTTCTTCATTCCTCATTTGTTGTCACTAAATGTTTGAATTCAAATTGTCTTATTTATGAGGGTTGTTCTGAATATTTATGAATGTCTGTTTTGTTAATTAAAAATAAACAAAAAGCCAATAAACATAGTGTTGAAAAAGGTTGTCTTGTTTATCTGGGAGAGTATTGTTTTTGTACTTATCTCAGAAAGTTATTTTTGAGTTGATTTTTTTAATATTAAGTCTAACAACTCTCAAACAAATAATTCTACAATGTGGTAGAAGTAAATATCCCACTGAGAAACCCAGAAGCCAAAACTGTTTTGTGTCAAACTACAACTTCATATAATTCCATCTTTAGTAACCATCAGACCCACTTCACAGTTTGCAACATTTAAGTACAATACATATATTTATATATTGTTATATATTATATATATTGGTGGGAGACATAAGATATTGCAGGTGTATGCATCAATAATCTTCTGTACCACTAAATATCTTAAAACATTTACACATCTAAAACTGCAGTCAGGTAGCAATATTTAAATATAACAGCACTGGTTGGTCTTTGTGCTCCTCTGCTTACATTAAAGCTGCACACAGCGCAGTAAGTGTGGTGTGGAGGTGGGTGGTTGATATGGACCCAAGAGCAAAATTTAATCTGGCCATGATCTGTCAATCTGGCAGTTTAAACCCTTTGACCTTGTGTGACTTAAGTTTCCAAACATGAAAAGCTGTTCAGCATAAATTAAATACAAATATAAAATCATGCATAAGGCATCATTTTTTCATCCGTAACAGACAAAAACAGCATCTTAAGGATACATGTTTAACTAAGTCACCTTGTTTTTTTCCCAGATCAGTAAATGCTTAGTGATCATCCATCTTTCAATAATGATATGTTCAGGACAAGAAGACAACAGAGAGAAAACTTGACTCTCCCTAAAAGAAAACCCCTTTATTTCACTCTGACCCCCCATTTCCAGAACTTACACACGTTAAAGGTTTCATCATTCAATAATAGTTCTCAAAAAGTGTAAATCAATGCATTCTTAGAGCAAAATAAGCCACTATGAACTGTAGACAATGTGACCACATGCTGCAGAGAGCAGTAGCTCCAGCAGAGTGCCTCCATGCAGTCACCTGGTGGAAAAGAGCCACTGTGGCCCTCTGTGAGAGGGCTGAGGACCAGCTCCTCCAAAGAGAAGGCACACATTTCCAAAATCCGTTGGCATTTAAATACTGTCTACATAGAGTTTCCTGATGAGTTACAGTCTGATCTTGTCAGGATAAAAATGACTATAAAATGGCTGACAAGGGTCATTTAAGAAGAAGGAAGGATTATTCAAGTGAGGTATTGGAGCGACATGTAAAAACCATGAGATTTACTGTACCATCAACATGAGGAAAACATATAAAGACTAACTTTAGAGGAAGACAAGACAGCAAATATGTAAAGTGACTCGTGGAAAATGCAATGGTTTCATTACAGTAAACAACAACGATGGACATACAGTGCATTTCACAATACAGTGATAGTTATAATACAAATGGCTTTGAGAGCACAGGAATCTGTGATATACTGTTAACATGGCTTTGTCAGCTTTTTGCTAGGCAGATACTTTCGTGTGAGCTGTAACATAGTATCCAGAGTAACAAATTTATATAAAAGTTATGGAACAATTATAAAAAGAAAATCAAATTATAACATATTTAGGCCAAAAAAAAGAAAGAAAGACATTATGTTGATTTGTTGTCATCTGGGCTGGCATTAAAACAAGTATTGCTCAACAAAAAACACTTGTAGAACATCATGGACAATACACCAGGTTTTGGCAAAAGATTGACATTAACATTAAAGCCATATTTTACATTGATAGAACATTTTCCTTTTTAACATGCATTCCTCTATATATGAGCTCGCTGTGGCATCAATGACGAGGACTTTGCTCTTAAATGTACAACATATTGCATTTTTAAAGGATGTTAATATTAGTACAAATCAAAATCTTGGGTGTTGGAAATAATAAAAAAAAGACATTTACTCATTCATATATGCATAAATTATGTTTCTATGGCTACATTCATTTTCGGTATAGAACAAAGTAATGTCAGTATGCGTTTATGGTAAACAATGCAGCTGGTGTTATATGTTGATGCGACCCAATAGAGGACTGCATGCTATTTATTTTGTTCTACTAATGTAAAAAAAACATCACTTCAAATGAGCAAAAAGTGCATATTCCTCCTGACAGGGGACTTGGCATAAATAACACTGACATTACAACCAATGTCAATGAGTCAGTGCACTTATTAATGATCCATCATCGCTGTTACTGCGTCAGTTACATACAGTAGCTGATCACAATCATTAAACGTGTTTTTGAGACTTCTGAATAATAAATGTAATTCAGGAGCTTTAAAACTGGCCAATGTTTGATGGGAAAGTGAGCATGCAAGAATACTAATTTAGCTAAATCTGATGATGGGGGGGGGGGTTATATTTTAAGAGAAGTATATATCCATTTTTATTTCATAGTAGAGATCAAGGGGGATTTTTTGAGAAATCTAATACTTCTAAACAAATCCACTCATGATTTCTCATCATTTCAGGCTGCAAATCCAAATAACGCGAGGGGAACAAGTAGCACAAAAAGCTTAACATTTCTCCGCATCTCCGTTCAGCTTTCAGCTCAAGGTCAACAGTGAGCCAGACATGTGGGATAAAACTCTGAGCCTCTTATCAGACGCTGCTCTGCATCTGGAAACACACCTTGTGTTGATCGGATACAGGAAAAACGGCAACGTCCCTCCATGTCTTTTGTGCGTCTCATCGTGGCAGCCTAAGCCCCTGTTTGTTAAGGAAAAACGTTCACCCACAGCCAGCCCAGCAGTGTCCCATACACCCAGGTTCTCACGTACAGTTTCCTGCCGTTCTCCGTCAGAAGTAACGGCAGTGTCAGTCCCCCCAAGATAACCACTGATGGGAGGGTTTTAGAGAGGTTCAGAAGGGAAGGTTTGCCTTCCCCGGGGAACTTGCGTATTTTGTCTGCATCCTCTGACTCGTAGAAATCCGTCAGCAACCTTTGAAAAGACAGATAACTCTCTTAGGAATTCAGCCCGTCTAGAAATGCACAAGACTACAAAAGAAAACTGCAAAGTGTAACAGAAACAAAAAATCTGTCTGACGAAAGATCAAATCAGGATTTCTACAGCAGTCACAGCACAAAAACTGCACCCAAATCACTCTGTGGCTTTTTGTGGCTTGGCTGCTGTTGGTCAATATTGGGTTTTCTAACTCAATATATTTAAGACAGCTGACATCTTAAAACACTTAACTATAAATTCACAGTCTATAGCAGTGGTTTTGGACTTTTTCTGTCATGTAAACTGATTTTAGAGCTGCAACAAATGATTACTTTAATTATCTGATTAGCTGATGTTGATGTTTGAACTGTTTATAAAATGCCAGAAAATAGTGTTGTTTTGTCTGACCAACAGCCCCAAACCCAAAAATATTCTGTTTACTGGTACAGAAGACAAAAAAAAGCAGCAACCAGGGAAAACTTTGGCATTTTTACTTTAAAAAAATGACAAATGATTCATCTATTATCTATCTAATTAGTTTCATTTAGATTCATAGATCCGGCAATGATTTCAGCTCTAATTAGTTTAACTTTTATTGACAATATTTTATATTAACAATATTTGATAAAAATTGAAATACTCTCTAAAACATGACTTGTATATTTTATTTTTGTTTTTAGACAGAAAGGTACCACTGGTCTATACTCAAGGGAGCTGCACCCATTCAAATTTTGTATTATTAATAATACATTCAGAAGCCAAGATGCATATCTTGTACATAAAACCTGTGTCAGGGGGAAAGCGAAACATTAAAAATAATTTGCCCTTTACATATTGATTGGATAACATGCAATTTCGACATGATTAATTGTTCCACCCACACACACACTTACCGGTCCTTGATTTCGAACCGCTCGTGCAGCCACCTGCGGAAAAACACTGGCTCTAAAGGAATTTCCTTTATGTCCACACGGTCGAAGTGTATGTGGACTCGGGGACATTCTTTGCACAGGAATTCTGTCAAACACAAAAAAATAAAGAGACTAAACAAAAACAGGAAAATCCTTTCAGCAAAACGGCACGTAGAGTAAGCACTTAAAATCAACACGAGGTGACAATGATAGAGTAGAGCTGCTGTGGCGCTGGGACGCCAAGTGCCAATTCTGGTAAGACTGGTAGCGTACGACAGCTTGCTGGTCAAACTGGTAATACGATTCTCAGTCTGGGACGGACTCAGACTAAAAAGCAGATCTGATAATGATATCAGGTAAAATCTAAATTGGTCTAAATCAAAAAACACTTAGTCAAGTCCAATTTAATATCTGAAATCAGAAATTTAATTGAATATTCTTTACCTGTATAATGAGTTAAAATGAGTTATAATCAGCTTTATCACTCAACAAATGTTCCTAAAATAAATGTTTTCATTCTCACATCACTTTAAACTGCCAGAGCACTAAGCAAAGAAAGAAAACCAAAGCGTCTGAGAAGGTCAGACATAAAAATGTAACCAAGTGTGAACGCTCAAGGCTACATGTGTATCCCTAGAGACCTTCAAGTTCCTGTTTCCACAACATGCAATATTATCAGGAAACTTGGCTCTGCAGCCAAAAGAGGAAACTTGATCGAAGTCGATTGCTCCTCTGGTGGAGAGAGCGCCTTGATCGGCTGCTGTGCAGATTTAAACTGACCTTCAGACACAATAATGTGCCGGTTTAATAAACACTGACCGTAAGTGTGGCCACAGACACACAAACATATGATTTATTTGTGCAAGAACTCACATGAAAAGGCCAAAATCATTGGGAGAAAAGAATACCTTCCTTCCTCATTCATGGAGGAGGTTAAGTGTTGTTTTCAGGTTTCGGGGCTGTTGCTGAGACACCGAACAAGTGTTTCCATAAATCAACCTACTAATAGAAAGCCGGGCTTCTACTGCAGGTCATGTGTGTTGATGAAGGAAACCAAGTCTTAGTTCTGTAGCGACAAACAATGCCTCCTGATCTAAATCCCTTTAATAAACTCCACTAAAGCTGAAAATCTGAGAGAAGGAATCTTTAATATCTTGAGTCGTCTGCAAGCAAAGCGGAGAACAAACAGCTACTAGAGAGGTGCAGAAACCTCATTTATTGATATTAAAAAAGGTACAAATTGATGATAATTTGTTATCCTAAGAATTAATTTAATCTAAGTTTTTAATTTACTTAATACAAATATCGCCAAGCTACCAAATATTAACCAAACTAAAATTCAAAAAGCCATTTATTTATTAGCCAAAGTGTTTCTTCCAGTCTCTTTTTTCTTAAACAAAATTTAATGTTTAACATGATTACTTTCATAAAATACACACGGATAATGAAAGAACAATTCCCCATTTGCAACTGCTGGCTGAGTTTAAAAACTGAGCTTACTTAATGGATTGATTAAGTACTGATGTAACAACAGCAGTAAATGCGGATACACGAGACAGGCCACCCACAAGGCACTAAAGTGCCACACAGTGCTATTCAGATTTGAATAAACATGTTAAGTAGAAGCAATATCTGTTGTTTCTTTTACACACGTTCGTACACAGACAAAAACACATTTACAATTAAAATCTGTTATGAAATACTGAACTCGGTAAAGGGAATTCACACAGGGCAATTTAATTATACTAGTACTACCTGGTATGTGGTCTGAAGTAGATGATTAAATTAACATTGCTAGAGAATGGCACATAATAGGAGGAAATATTTGTACAAGCACAAGTCCTGTAAAGCTAAGCTGCAGACCTTTATTCACAAGAATCAGCTCTAAGAAGGACAGACCTCCATGACCAATAATTACAAAGAGCTGATTAAACCTCCCTCAGCCACAGGAACAGCATGTTTGAGTAGACTAAGTGACGGATGATTGATCAATTATTGGTCAATCACCGTAAATAATTTAATAGATCAAAAATATATGAATGGACAACCTAGAAGACAAGGTATGTGCGGTGTAAACTTTCAGGAAATTACATTTAATATTTTGAACTCTCTTTGTTCAAAGAGAGTAATGAAAGCATTATTTTGTTTTTAGAATATAAATTATGTTTTTAAGTGGAATTGTTGAAATACCTTGTTAACTTGGATTTTGAAGCGATTCTAGGCCACACCAGCAGTGTTAAAATGCTTTTATTGTGAAAGAAAGTGCACTTTTAAATATGAACTGATTGTTAACATGCCCAATAATTAAGGAAGGAGGCTTCTATTTCTTACCTCTCTTTCCAAACCTAATATTAAGTCTCTTTTCGTTGCCAACTAACATAAATTATGATTTGAGTTATTAAATACAAGTCACATTTATTTATACTTCAGGGTCTAATAATATTATTATTATCAAAATGATTCAAACTGTCAATAACAAAAAGAATCAGCTTAGCGTCACTTCCACTTCCCTGTAAAATTACTAAAGTCACCTTCACCACATGAGACCAGGAAGTGCGTGATGAGAAGAATGCCTGTCTATTCTCTGTTCTGTTTGCTAGAAACATATCAATGTTTATTCCTGACCGAAACGGGATGTTTTTTGTTAGCATTCAAACGGTGCTTGTAGAACAACTGGGAACACAGAATAATCAAAAACTCCAAAACACGAGGAGTCATGCTGTTTACAGGAAGACACGGCTGTTAATAGGTAATGTTTGCTATGTGATTAATTACTGAGGGGGCGGACACAAGGTTGCAGGGGTTGATAATACAATGGCCTGTGCGTCTATGGATACAATGATTAACAGAAAATAGAGCTGTAAAGCTGGCAGCCTGTAACTGCATTCATATGTGACATTAACAAATGCTATTTTTATCTCTATGATTTAATTACCTGTGTTTACATGCACTTGTCATTATGTTATTGTGAGTTGTAAGGAGTGTTGTCAATGTGTATACTATATATATTAATAGGCCCACACTCTGACAGTCGCCCCCAACAACCTACAACAAAAGTACCACACAGAAACTTTTACCAACAACTGTCAAAGTGCTTCAAGTGAGGGTAAAATCTCCAGCAGACTCTCACAGCAGCTGCTCATCAGCTCTGGTTAACAGCTCGCTGTTTGTGCTACACTGCTGTGGTCAGTCTGTGTCGAGGCCACGCCCCCTAAAATCACTGTTCTTTGCAGGGCTCTGATGCATTTTGTTTGATTTCCTGAGAGTGAGGGAGCAAGCAGAACTGAAAGGTGTAGTTACACTTTAACAATGTGATCACAATGTGTTCATTTACACCTTGCATTAACATGCATGTTGCCTAACCCACGTCGGAGATCCAGACACAGATCACGTTTTAATGCCAGGTGTAAATGGGGTCTCAAGCAGCAACTGAGAAGATAGCATGTTTCTTTTACCACTTCACTGTCTGTTGCTTCAACTCTTCTTCCACCCTGTGGGCTGTAATTTCTCCAACTTAGCATTCTTGAACGCATTTTTATCTCCCCTGCAAGTGGGCTTTCCAAATATATTCCAGCTGCATGTTTCCAGTGTGTGTATACTTTTATCCAGTATTGTGAGACCAGGTTAAATAAAAGAAGCCACTGAAAGTCAACTGTCTCAGTCTTAACTGAGATTCTCCCACAGGTCTGAGACAAACTCCTGCCTGCTTACCTGGCATTGATGGCGCAGGTTTTCTCTGACCGGAGACGTCCAGCGTTCCCTCGTAGGCCACGGTGATGTCATACACAGCGTTCAGGTGGCCCTTCATGCTCTCGATGGCTATGTGAGAGGCCTTCATTCTGGGTGTAAGTGTGTGCCTCAGAACAGCTAGTCCTACGAAAAGCACATAACAAAGGTTCTTCATTTAATAAATTACGGTTATTAACAGTGTAAATATAAAGCATGCAGCTTACACAATAAAAGCACTGCTAGCCAGTGTATAAAAAATTAATACCAGAGCATCCTAGTGGCTCTTATAAAGAGATGAATAACAAACTTAAAACTATGTAATTTAAACACAGTAATTCTATGTAAATGCTTGTGTTTGGGTCAGTTACTGTGCAGTCTGTTGTCGATGAGGCACCATCCTCTGCTCTCTAATACCTCACTAATAGCAGATAATGTCATGTGCACATGTTGGCTCTCCAGAGCGATTTATTTGGATTAATGGGGGAAGGTGATATTCAGAGCTGTGGTCCACAGATAGGCTTAATCTCTGCAGAATGGACGCAGTTGGCGAGCCGACCTTAACGCCACACTGCACTATAGCCATCATTATAATCATGTTGATGCAACACATTTATTTAGCTGTGAATCTTCAAATGTACACTGCAGTTAGATATAGTCACCACACAGGATATGTTAATTTCACTTTCTTATGCTACCAAAATAACCAGAAGAGACGTCCTACTTCAAACAGATTCTTTTTAGCACTGCGAGTGTGCAATAAATTCTCTTTTATCGACCAGCAGCGAGTCCATTTTTTCGTCAAAACTTTGAGCTAACACCAGCTGGAATATTTAATAAGATGTTTTGGTGGAAGCTGACCAATTCCTGGCACCACACCAGTAATCCAATGATGATTAAAATTAATAGAGCATTTTTTTATGTTTATAAAGCCAGCTTCAATGAGTACTTAGGGTAAAATTGTCCAAAACACTGTTAAAAAAAAAAAGTATATTGAGTTTTTCATGCTTTGTTATACAGTTCTGAACTTTCCAATACATGATACAAATAATGAACCATTTCAAGTGCATGTGATGCTCATTGGTCAAACAGCAGCTTGCACAGGTCACATAACACAACTTAGTCAGCTGTTTTACAGATTGAGTGGGCTGTGCTGAATTAGTATGCAGCAGTACAGCAGCAAATGGCTGCCATCATGCTAGTACCTTCTTTCGAAGCAAAAGCCTGACTGTCAGCGATAACATTCTTGAGCTCTGGGTTATACCGAGTTCCTTCTGGGAAGATGACAAGGTACATCTGTGGGGAGAAAAAAAACATGTGGAATGAAAGTCTTCAGTGTTGAATCTTTGGTCAAACTGGAATTTCTAACATTTAAAAGGATTTGTTGGACAAGAAACAGGGAAACGTAACACTGTGCTGAACTTATAATGCTCAAAAGAAAAGTTTTCATCAACCTCGTTCTTTTAAATCAGTTTGGATTACAACTGAACTGAAAACTGAGTGCTCTGCGATGTGGACTCAACCTGCTCTTCCTGAGGTCTCACATTTGTATCCGTTCCTCTTTCACCCATCTCACTGTGACACCACTGTGTTTCATTTCAGATCAACAATTACCAGGAAGTTGCACCCTTCAGTACTTGTGCTACTTTAATACTGAAGTACAGAATTAATGTATATAAGAATTACCCAGTTGATAATTTTTTGCCAAAATATTGAGGTTGTAAAATCTTTTTTAACAAAAATAAATAAATAAAAGATCTTCTTGAAATGAAATATTTCAGCTGCAGTTAATTTATTTGCAAATTACTGGAATTAATAGGCGAGTGAGTTTTACTAACAATTTGTTTTAGAGGTGATAAGATCAAGTTCAGTCAAGCTGGAGCCAAAGGTGAAAATGTATTTCCGACCTCGGCCTGAATTTATCGTCACTGTGACAACTGATAATGTTTACTTTCATCACGGGACTTCACAACAGAGCTTTCATAGTGTACCCTCCGTGTCACAAGGACTTCTGTCAAACACACACAGACACACACACACACACAAAACACACACTAATCCCCTACAGCTAAATCCAAAAAAAGTGATTAAAAACAAGCCCTTTCAACACAATAACACACTGCAATTGAACCTTCCTGCATCCAATGTCTGATTATCCATTTCATTTGACTGGTGCTGGCGTCATCGGATGTTCTGTTAATACAAACTCTGAGAAACTATTCATGTCAACATCCTAATTACAAGTAGGGTAAGAAGGAATTTTTGGACGACAGAATTTTGGAAGATTATTCCAGAAAGCTCTGCAGAGAATTTAAGTGGTGAAAGTTTGGAATCGAGCTTGTAATGATCAGAAAAATGTGAAAAACAAGGCCCAGCAGACCTTACAGAGTAAATATACCTGTAGTTAAGAGGCTAATTTACAAAGCGTACTTACTGGTGCTCCACATTGAGTCTGAGTGAGGAGCTTCTTCTTCATCGCCCTCTCATTGAACTTAGCACTCCTTTTCACGTAGGCTCCTCCGTGCTAAAAAGAGGAAGATAATTCGATGGGAACAGCAGCGCTAGCCGAGCGCTTCGAGTTCAGCGTACATCTTTACATGTATAATTTTACAAAAATGACATTCAAATACTCACACAGTTGCATTACCTGAGAGAAATACCATCCGTAGAGCGGGAGCCACTTGAGTCCATCTTTAAGGACGTATCTGACGTGACCGAGAGCGCTCTGTCTGATGGCGAGCATGTCAGCAATGATCCAGTCAGCTACAAGGAGACCCAGAGATTAGACAGTCACTTCAACTTGTGCTTCGCGCTAGAATACGATTTTAAAGCAGGGTATGAAGTGTGTTACCTGTGCATTGGTGATTTGACAGGTAGATCACATTCTCTTTGTTCTTTGGTATATCTCCGTATATAACAATCTACAATGAAAGCAGGTTGAACATATTACAGATGGTAGTTGTCCTGTGAGTTGGCCAAACTAATCTACATTGAGATAAAAGATTTATTTTGTTTTGTTAGACACTGCATCAGGGATTTGGTTCCACTACAGACTGATTTTGTCCATTTTTATAAAAACTAAAACCACCATAGCTTTTCAATAAACCCCAAGAGGATTTATTAAAAAAAGTCCCTTCCAATCTCCTCATGTGGCCTCCAGTCGGTGGGACAGCGGAGGCACTTTATTACACAAAGCACATCAGGTTTACCAGCTACAGCACAATCACCACTTCCTGCACGCCCTAACTACAAAACACCAACTGTGCGAGGAGTGGCGGCAAAAGGGGCAACAGAATGCAGACGTTCTTGCTGTGCATCAAAAACCTGTTTGTCAGCATCCGGGTCTGGCTCCACTTTACATTTGGGCATTTTCAGAGTTTCAAACAAACACAGAAACCTGCAAAAATGCACTGATCTGCATGTTGTGTTCATGCAATAACAAATGCAACTTCAAAAGCCTGCAAGTTCAAAGCCCTACACGATTTTAGCTCAGTCTTTAAACATCTGATTTGCTGCAGCATGTGGAGGACCACTCACCTCAACTCCTGTGTAGTTTTCAAAGAAGAACAGGACCATACTCTGGTAGATGCAGTACAACCGGTCGTCCAACCTGTGATACAACCTGGCTGGTAACACAGTTGAAAGTAAGCGCCAAACCCCCCACGACAGCAGGTAAGCTGGTGCTGTCCCCAGCATGATGGTGGCTGGGAACCAGTACCGCAGCGAGTATGTGTGCACAACCAAGGAGAGCAGCATGATGATGATCCCCCAAAACCTCTGGCTCCACTAAAGTAACAACAAAATACAAAAAAAATCCCTGAAGCGGACGGTAGGACTTAGCACTACACACTGTTACTAAGTTCCAGACAGTGCACCCTATCTATCGCACACCACACCTGGCCTACTTTCAGCACACCTGGCCTGACAAGTCAGCATAAGAAAAAGTGAGAGGAAGCTGCAGCAAGAAAGGGGAATGAGGAGCTAACCGGCTGGAGCTAATTTTAACCTTGTGTGCAAACCCGCAGTGGGCTTAACGTCCACCCATACTGCAACACAAAGACAAACTCATTAAACTACAGTTTTATCTGATCATGTTAACCTCCTACAACAGCAAAGCAGGACCCGAACTCCGTACATTTACCGCACAAGTTAGGAGACAGCGTTAGCTTACTATTTAACGTGTTTTAGCCGGAGAGGAAGTTTTAACCAAAAGCTACAGCGGACATAAACTCGATAACAAAAGTGCAACACGAACGTCCGCTCGGTGGTAAACAGGCACAGCGTTTCCCCGCTCCCCTTCCCCTCTAGTTCTTCATGTTTGTCCGGATATCTGTTCACAAACTAACGTTAGCTCCCTGCAGCAAATGTCACACACGCCTCCCGACGTAAAGACACAGCGCAACATCGACGCAGCTGATTGGTCGAGTGACGCGGTTGGGAGGGCGGCCAATGGGAGAGCGCGCAGCGTCCGAGGTTAAAGGACCATTAACACCTTTTATTCCTCAGAGCATTTAACATTATACATACATTATATATATATATTAATCTTTTTTATGTATTGTTCTAATCTAATCTAATCTCACATGATTCAGTTTTAATAAAACCTGAAATTACCTCACACAAGTGATATATGTGTAGGTCCAGAGGGCGTTTGCAGTGTGTACACTTCTGTTAACTGTTCGCCAATAAAACTGAATTGAAGTGACCTTTAACAGAAATTAATAATAATAATAATAAAAAAACCTGTGATCACAATCAAAATTAGTATTATAAAGTATTTACTCACAAAAGCATCACAAAACATTTCTATAAGGACACAGTATGTATATCTCCATTAGAGTATTGAACTGGCTCACATCATTATAAATGAAAAACAATCCGACTCACATATTTTAACTGTGTAGTCAAACAAGAGAGGGGGAATCTTCACTAAAGGTCCACTTACTAGATTTTTTTCCAGAGTTTTTAACCTCATTTTTGTTTCATGACATTTGCTTCAATTGTGACGAAATTCCTCAGTTGTCATCTTGTGAACACGTGTGATGTTTGTGCAGACAACTAAACTAACTCCATCTATTGATGAGGATCATGAAATTATGAGATTAAAAGGTCCAGAGTGAGTGGACGTTGAGTTATTTAACTTTTTTAAATGTTTAAATGTTTTATTTGCTTCCTTC